ATATATACAAATATATACACGTCTATGAAGTGTTTTGCTCAAAATACCAAACAGATCACCCATTCTAGCCATGCCTCATATCCCTCCATTTCACTTCCTGTTTCAAAAGTGCTGATTTTATGTATAGGATGGGGCTGAGCTCATGCGGGACCCGGCAGCTACTGTCTAAACTAAATACTGCCGTGATGAAACGCCATATCATGGATTATCAAGGATTATCTCTGAAACAGTATGGAGCTCAAAGGCTTTCTCTCTTGCCGGTTATACCACAAGGTGAGTTCCTTTTTATTTCCTGCTTCTTCACACACATGCTCTCCAGTACAGGTTAGCTCTGAGTGTTAGCGATGCTAATGTAAACACCGACCATATTACGTCCAAAACAGTCGGGCATTGTTTTTGATAGCAACTTTCTGATTGGGCCGTGGGTCCACATTTCAGATATTACGTCATATCGGACGCAAATCTGGATCAGCTCCGTTGTAGCCCCGTTTTTAGAGATTTGGGTACGGAGGAAAAGAGAGAGGTTTTTATTTTCTGACGCTGCGTGAGTTCCCCGACACACCGGGGACACATCTTTATGTATAAAAGACATCAAAAAGTGCATTTTGCATGATAGGTCCCCTTTAAGTTATATTTTGGTTTCAGCAGGAATATATCCATAGATCGATATTTTATTTATGAGCCAGGTGTTTCTCGTGAGTTTCGGGGAAGTGTTGCTTCAAAATATATTCACCTTCGTGCGCAATAAAAAAGAAATTCTGACAATAACTCGCCCTCCACCGGCCACACCCATAAGTAAATACATTTTTTTTTTACATTTTTCTGTTGATTGGTTGACATCTGACACAACTAATGGTGATAGCCCTCTCGATTTCAACACACCTTTAGATAAAAGCGTTGTTTTAGACGGGCGATTGTCAATCAAATGCGGGACATCGGCTAAATGTGTGGGACAAATTATAAAAATGCTTCGCAGTCCTGTACAAAGTGGGACACCTGGTCACTCTAACTGTAAGTGAATCTTGAGCTACACACAGGCTACTTATTCTAGCATTATGTCAAATATGAATGATCTAAGCAATGGGTTCACTAAAAGCACATTTGGTGAAAACGTAAAATGTATAATTGGTGACTTGGTAACTTCCTCAAAGATCTGGAAATCCTTCACTGATATTTAGCAGCGTCTACTTACCGGAACGTCCTTCTTGTCCTTCCTAGTTGGGACACTAGGGGGCATGGTGGACTGTCTGTCTGCTGGACTCTCCCTCTCTACCCCGTGTGCAGGAGCTGTGTTCAGCCCATTCCCTTCAACAACAGAAACAACGCATAAAACACAAATTCAGAACAAGTTTACATGTGAGAGAGTCAGTGTGTGTGAGTACGCAGCAGAACATGCAAGTTAAAAAAACAGACTTAGCTGCAGAATACACATTGAAAGCACAGTTCAGTCACATTGACACTTTCTCATACATATAGTTGTATGAGTACAATCTAATGTGTAGGACTGAGTACAATCTAATGTGAAGGACTGAGGACAGAGAGGAGTAACACACACACTACTGGGAAGAGGGGGAGAGGGAGGGGAGGAGGAAGCAGGCTAGCAGGATCAAATAGAGTCAATGAGCGAAGGAGGGTGTTAATGCAACACAGACAACCTGATAGCTAGCGGTCAATGTGGGTCGATTGTTGGTTTACTCTACCACTGCATTCATTTAAGAAGCCAAAAGAAATATGCATGCCCTACTGTGTTAAGAAAGCAGGAGTTAGCTGATAAATTGTAAAATAATGAGACTTATTTGCAGTAGCTAAGGACCAAAACATGTCCTGTCATGATTGAAGAACAACAGTCACACACACACACATGCAAATACACCAATTCATGCCTGCTGAAGGCTTGGAGGACTATTCTGGCAAAACTGTATATTCCTAATCTCTATTGTCCATCTATTTCATGTCTATACTGATTCTACTGAACCATAATTTCCAATCTGTTCTCTTATCTCAACTCCAAACAAAACCTCTCCATAGAACGTTGCTCATAATCTGTCAACTAATAACCAACTTGTTGTAATAACACCTGCCTTCTGTCACAATCTAGTGAGAAACAGGTGAACCTAACTTCTGCTATTGATTTAGTTCAGAGAAGACACGGAAATTAAAAGATATTTTACAGAATGATGGCCTTCATAAAGTAATAAAAACATGATTCCCCTGAATAAAGCAATGGAAATTATCGGATTGAATCTGTATGGAAATGTCCTACATCAGCTGGATATAATTGTGTGTCTTTGTTAAGAAGTAATCTTGTTAATTTGAAAGCGATTGTCAAAGCTTAGGTGTTTCTGTTCAGATCATTGTACACAAATTGCCTAAAACATTTTAAATGCTGTTGTTTAAAAGCTTATTTTTTCATTTGCTAACTTCTCAATTAAACTGCTGAGTTACATTTTAGCATTGATATTTATAAAGCTGCCAACAGGAACAGAAAAGACCAGAGTGGATGAATTAATAAGAACTCATGTCATGTGCCATATCACTATTAGGCGCTTTCACACCGGAGTACTTTTCCCAGGAACAGTTCCGATCGGATTTTGCGTTCACACCAAAAAGATCTGGAACTAGAACTTTTTTTTGCGAACCTTTTCACCCCTTTTTAGTGCCTGCTAGAGAGCAGGGACTACAAAGGGGAGAAAAAGGTTCAAATTTCTGATTGGCTGGGCGAATTGCAAACCACGCCCCGTAAAACTCTGAAAAGTTTTTGTGAAGCCGCCATTTTATTTGCTGGCATTAGCATCATTAGCATTAGCCCAGCGCACCAACGGAGAGAGACTAACTTATGGCAACACAAAAGAAAAGTCCAACTCCTGGGACTTCGGGTGGCAGTATACACCGTGAAGTTGTTTGCGGCCTGCCAGTAAACCCAAAGCAGAAGAAGAAGAAGCAGAAGAAGAAGAAGAAGAAGTGACGTCAGCGGCTCCCTCAGGGACTTATTCCGGTGTGAACGCGATTTACTAGATAGTTCCAGAAAAAGAAAAAAAAAATTCCTGGGAAAAGTACTTGGTGTGAAAGCGCCTATTGTGTGTTGTTTCCTGAGTTCTGATCAGCCAGGACAATGTTTTTTCTCCTCTTCCTTCTTCCTCCGAGGAAGGAAGGGCCAGTGGTAGCAGACAACTAGCTTTAATATGATTGGGTAAGACAACCAAGTAGACTTAACGAAAAATGACAAACACTTATATTGAGCAGGAGCTGATGGACAAAAGGAACTACAAACAAAAGATTGGAAAGCGCTGGTATTAATGGAGTCATGGGACATATAAATTAGACTGCGAGGACTGACTAGTGGGAGACCACACAACCAATCGAAGGGGAACGACAGGGTCTTTGGGAACTAACAATCTACCAAGTGGCTGCTCTTACTCTCTTCCTTTTCCTCCTCTTTTTCCTGCTCATCTTTCACCTCCTTCAGCACCTCCCACGCCTCCTCCAGCTCCTCATCAGTGTGAGGCGTGTGGAGCCACTCCCAGAAATGTCTAAAGCTCCCATCATCCTCTGGGGCAGAGTTTTCGGCGTCCGAGTGCTTCGGGCTCTCGTTACCTAGGCTACTGCGGCGGTGGGGCGGCAGCTTCGGGGGCGGGGGTCTCGGGGGGACGTTGGAGGCGGGTTTAGCGGGACTCGCCGTGTTGGGGACCGGGCAGCGTTTGATGGTCCCTCCCCCGTCATCCTCGCTGTGTGATTGGCTATCGTCAAGTTTGTGTTGTAGCTGCTGGGGTTGTTGGGACGAGCAGAGCGACTTGGGCTGAGGGGAATAACAGATAAGGACAAAAAGTTATTTCATAAAATCGAAACAATACACCTCTCTTTTCAAAGATAGTAAACATAATAGAGTGGTGCAGTGATGACGTATTTCTGTAGGCCGACCCGGAAGTAAGCTGCGCATGGGTTCCCTCGACAAAAAAGCAATGGGATTTCTCCATAGGATTTTGGAATATTGTAAAAAATAAGATCTGTGGAAAACGAACCTGTTCGATAAATGCACGTTTTGTTCAGCCGGATAATCTCCACATGTCTACCCTACTTTTATAATTGTTTAATAATAAATCTAAATTGATGGATTTATGATTAGAAAATTAGAAAAGTAGGGTAGACATGTGGAGATTATCCGGCTGAACAACACTTGCATTTATCAGGTTCGTTTTCCCAAGATACCTACAAAAATATGTCATCCCTGCACCACTCTATGCATGTGGCAAAATAGGACTAAACTAAGACTTTTAAATACATTGTTCATACCTTGGGAGGAAGGGGAGGCGGGACCTTTGGCCTCATGATCGTGCTCGATTTACTGAAATGGTAGGAGAAAATGTAAGATTCTGCTTAACGAAACATAAGAAGCAGCCTAAAAACTGCCATTTTCTTAATAACCAGAGTCAAAATGGAAACAATATATACAGTTTTCACCACAGAGCTTATGATTTCACTTGCCATTTTAGTTTTTACAAGACCACACGATTTAGAATGCAATATGATTGTTTTTTTGGTGGATCCCATACCGAAACAAAAAGTGTAGTAAAAAAAAAGATCAAGACAATTTTTGTGAATCCAGGATTAATTAAATGTTGCATTTTGTGATCAGCCGTTAAAGAAACCCTGAAATGACAAGTATAATCATATCCCAACTGTTGTTTGACAGTGACGCAAGATCACTACTTTTAAGGGTTAAAAATACTATAAAGTTAGACTAGCACGTTAGAGATCACGAGGAACAACTACAGGGGCAGCATGTGTAAAGTCTCTGAGAATAGCAGCGCTGATACTGAAAAAGTGATTAGATAATTAAAGCCAGTTTCCTAATTTACCTCATACCATTCATATATCATTACATTACATTACATGTCACTTGTTAGACGCTTACATACTTACATACTCAATACTGTGGACAATCCCCACAGGAGCAATTTGGGGTGAAGTGTCTCAGTGACACAACGACATGCTGACTGCAGTGGGGTTTGAACCTGTGACCCCCCTGATCCGAACACCAACACACAACCCACTGCACCACACGCCTCCCATATACTTGAAATTCAACCAATCTCTAAATAATGCTAACTTTTTGTTACCAAAGTAATAATTTTGACTGCAGAGAAGCACTATATTCCCAGAGACTTTATTCATTTGCCTTGTACACTGTCTTGATTTGTTAATGTCTGACAGAGAAATACCCAATATGAGCTCTCAAATTCTAAAAGACAAACACTAGGGGCCAATCACAGTGATGATAATACAGGAACACCAATAGCAATATGTCACAGCGATCCAGTTGAATGGGGGTCAACAGATATACGGCTTAATACCCCCTTAATGTTAACTTTATCGGTAACTGACAAAACAAAACAGTTATGATGCAATGCTCCAGCTATGGGTTTGTTAAGGGTAGAATGAGAACACTGTATTGGGAAATGTTGCATGGTGCTGGGGGGCAAATGGCACAGAACTGCTGTTAGGAAATCATGTATGGGTGCTAAGGAAAACATTAAATGGTGGAAGGAACGAGAGGAAGTCGGCAAAAAAAGCATCCAAAAGAGAAGAGGGGTTGAGTTGTAACAATCTGACCCTACACTGACGAAGAAAGTATACTGCTACAATTAGCTATTTCTTCATTTATTTAAGAGCTACTAAGCAACTGTTTCCCTGTGTACATTTGTTTAAAGGTCCCATGTCATGGCCATTTCCACTGATCATAATTCCATTGTTGAGGTCTACTAGAATAGATTTATATTGTGCAATTTTCCAAACTCACTTTGGTTTCTCAAACAGCATCTCTGTAAACTACGTGTATTCACTGAATTTCACTCTCTGCCTTTAACGGCTTGTTGTAGCTCCAATAGCTCCAGCCCCCACCCTCCCTGTGTGCACAGTGTGCTCTGATTGGTCGGGACGTTGTGAATCGCGCTGAGCTCCGTGGAGGTGTGGTTTCCTTGTTTANCCGCCCTTGAAAATGTCTATGCAAACGTTATTATTAATAATAATTGTAAAAAAAAAATTATAAAAAAACTTAATCCATTTTTTTTTTATAATAATTATTTATTTTTTTTCACTTTTATTTTGTAATCATCTCGCGACCCCCACTTTGGGAACCCCTGTTCTAGTGTATAGAAGTGCCCGGTCTGGTAGTAGAAATCAGAAATAACTCCCAAGGGGGAAAAGCAAGTGTCTGACCGTGGCTTTTTCATATTTTCAGGTTTTAAATGGTATTATACGAGAACAGTATTAGTATACAGAATAAGGCATAGACTCAATCGTGAAAAGTAGGTGTCTTACTAAAACATTGTTAAATATTATCTCTAATCAGAAAATCAGTATGTCTTCAAAATAAGCCACTTTCATATTCAAATATCTGAGATTTATTGGTTACATTGAAATGAATTGACTGATGAGAGGATACGTGTATTGTGTGGAGGGCGTGTGTAGATCTGTAAAGACTGGAAAGGTTTAAACCCGGTTGTGTTCTGTTTGGATCTGTTCAGTCCTTTCAGATCTGCGAGGGTTAGAGGTAGTTTGTGGATGAAGCTTCACTCAGATCTCCCTCCCCTGTCCCCTCTTCCTCTATCCTCCTCTTCCTCCTCCTCCTGTTGTCATCCTACCTCCTTTGCTTGCTCCCTTAATCTCTCCCTCCTTTGCCTCTATCCTCTATTTCTGTTCTCTTCCTCCCACCTCCTCCCTTCTCCTCTCTTACCCACCCTCCTCCTATCTTCACCTCCTCTCCCAGGGGCCATGTGGCACACTTAGGGGATGATGATGATGAGGATGATGATGGTGCAGATGATGATGAAACTCACACTCAGTAAGTTTTCCCCCCCCCAGTCGTAGCACTAGAAGCCTCTCTCTCCTCGTCTCTTCAACCCTCTTTCTTCCCCCATCCTTTCCTCTGTCCTTACAAAGAGGAAAGGGTGAGGAAGAGGAGGAAGACGAGGAGGAAGGCTTCTTGTCTTTCCCACAGTTTCATCAACGCATTTCTATGCAGCACACCCCACCATCTCGCCACATATGCCACCTGTGTTTGTGTGTGTTTACAGCCTGTGCCATTACCGCTGTCTTGTGTGACGTTTAATAGCTTTACTAACAGTAACCCTAACCTTAATACAGAACGTTTTTATTTGTTTAGTTACATTTTAAATCCATAGATGCACAGGGAAAGTGGATAACTTTAGCCATAGGTATTGCAAAACACCACAGAAATGAAAGCTAGGTGCTAAACCAGACACACGTGAAAATCTTGGTGTATTTTCGGTGCTTAGGTCCTCGTGACCTTGACATCTTATTCTCTGTTGTCTTGTTTTGTTCTCCACTTGCATCGCCATCTGTGTGCCTCCCTGCTGAGTTTGTGCATGTGTGTGTGGGAATTCAGGCTCTCTTCCTGCCTTTTATAAAACGGTGTGTTTGGCGTCCGGCCTCATCCCTCATTGTGTAAAAGCCAAATCTCTGTGGAGGGCTGGAACATTGTTTCTAGTTATGTATTCTCCCCTGCAGTCCGAAAGGCCTCAGCAGTCAGCGCACACACGGTACAACATGCATACATAGAAAGAACTGTAATTCCTTAATGGACTGCGATCAATCGTAGTGTACAGTGAAATCAAAGTAATGGTTCCTGGCTATAAACGGGATCGTCTTTACGTCTGTGTTGTTCTTTATAGAAAGAAACATTTTAAGTGATTGGTTAGGACGCTTCACAGTTCAAACTGATAAAACGAAATGTGGAAAATCTGCTAAGCATGAAGATTTAAATGTTAAAAGTCAAACACTTTGATATTGTGAGGACTTTTTTCGGAGCATAACTTCAGTGAGCTAAAAGCTGTAGGTGATTTAAAGGTCCCATGTCATGCTTTTCCGGTTATTACCCGTCCCCTTGTGTGTTATGAAGGTTTTTATGCATGTAAACGGTCTGCAGAGTCAAAACCCTCAAAGTACACCCTGTAGCGAGTAAAACTCTAACACAGAAAATACCTCCCCAAAGCGCCTCGTTGGAGATACGTCACTGTACATTGATTCTTCCGGGTACGCATGATGTCAACCGTACCCGGAACCAAATGGACCAATCCGTGGAGCCGTTACGCGTCTGGAGCCGTTACGTTAAGCCCCCGCTGATTGGTCCAAATTGACCAATCCACGGACTTCCTCACACACCCACTCAGTGCAGGCAGCTCTGCTGATCTCTCCTCCCTGGCTGCAGGCTGATAACAGACAGTTGGGATCGTGGGCAAATTCTCTCTGCAGACCCATTCTCACAGCGTTTATCAACCTTTTTCTTACTCAATATCAAGCCACACTTATTGTTTTTACTTCGGCTGTGACTTTGTGTGTGCTCAGGGTGAGTTTGGCTGTGTTTCGCTGTGTATCGCTAAACAAGGAAACCACACCTCCACGGAGCTCAGCGCGATTCACAACGTCCCGACCAATCAGAGCACACTGTGCACACAGGGAGGGTGGGGGCTGGAGCTATTGGAGCTACAACAAGCCGTTAAAGGCAGAGAGTGAAATTCAGTGAATACACGTAGTTTACAGAGATGCTGTATGAGAAACCAATGTGAGTTTGCAAAATTGCACAATATAAATCTATTCTAGTATACCTCAACAATGGAATTATGATCAGTGGAAATGGCCATGACATGGGACCTTTAAGAGAACATTCTTCATGTTTATTTAAGTGTTTACCATTCCCACGGTAAGACAAAACAAAAAGAAATACCATCTTAGTTTTCTAAAAAAAACTAAAAGTTTTCTAAAAAACTGTTAACTTACGTGTGTCAATGTATATATTTTTTTCTTTGAGGGGGTCTGCCTCCAAAAAACAGTTGTAAGTCCTGAGAAAGTCAAATGAGACGGTGTGNCCAGAGACTGGGGGGGGGGTGCTAGTGAATTAATTTCAGAAAAAAAAAAGAAAAAGTTTGAGAAACACTGCGCTAGTGGATTGTCAAAGAAAAAAAATGACATTTTTTTTCTTTGACAATCCACTAGCGCAGTGTTTCTCAAACTTTTTCTTTTTTTTTTCTGAAATTAATTCACTAGCACCCCCCCCCCAGTCTCTGGCACTGTTATTTTGGGGGTCGCGGGCTGAAAGGTTTGGGAACCCCTGCACTAGAAGAAGCTTTAACTCTTAACTTTATTCTACCTAGGTCAGTCAAATAATGACCGACATTTTGTGAGATGTAATAATTATATAACCTAAAAGACTAAAACAACATCACGGTTATCTCCTCTACTAGTAATACTTCTACCGCTGTCCACTAAAGGAGAAATAAGGGACCAAACCCTTTTTATGTAGTTATAAAAAACAACTACATTTTAGGTGTCTTGCCAAACAGCCTTACAAAATATAATATAATAACAACATTGATTCAGCAGACCTTGCTTTTACACAATTTGCAGCACATTTGACGTATCAGATTGTCTCATAATAACAGATAGCGAAGCACGGTAATTATCATCGTTTTTGAGGTAAGAGATACACAGACTTGCCTAATTGCTAAAGACACCCACTGGAGTTTTGGCTGGGAAACTGTATAAACACTCACATTTGTGTGTGTGTGTGTGTACGTGTGTCTTTGTGTGTGTGTCAGCCATGCTCTGCAGGAAGCTCCTATGAAGCACAGCCTTCTCCTGATGACATCAAAGCATGAAGCAAGCCGCAGAGGGAAAATAAAACCCAGAAGAATCCAAAATGCTGAGAGCAGTGACAGCCTGAAGTCATTACAAGGTTAGTTGCGTGTGATTGGCCCGATTAGTCCTGACGTTAACAATGATTGGCCGATGGGTGGGCGTGGTTAGAGCACCGGCGAATCAAGAGGCCCCGAGTGAATCAGGATATAAAGAGAGGTCTGACTCACCTCTGATGAAGCTCCTCCTCCACAGATTTAAGAAGACTCCTGTTTGAGGGACAAGTGGAGAGAACAGCATGAGTGAAAATATAGATAAATGACAGAAAACAAAGAGTTACAAATCTAAGTTAAGTGCTTTCAAAATAGTTTCCCTGATCTGAATAAAGGTGAGCATTTTGCTTACAAAGCACCCTTGAAAGCAGAAAGCTAAAAACAGCACTTGAACATCCCTCGAGCTGCAATTATAAATAAATCATCAAACCTACAGCCCACAGAAATCTCATATTCTGTCTCTCCCTGTTAGTCCACAACCTCCCCCACGGTTATGGACTAACGGGGGGATAAAGAGATCAAGGTAGAGGAGAAAAGAGAAAGAAATATATATCATAAAAAAGACAGTCAGTGAACACGACACTTACTTGTTTCCTCCCAGAAGACTTGGTGAATCGTGTCCGTACTCCAACTGCAAGTCCTTAAAGAAAAACAAATTACATTACAACTGTGGCATAATAATTCATAAGTAGCCCATTGAAGCATCTACTGTTTTTAATTTCTCCAGGGACATAAACAGGGCTTAAGATGTTGGCTAAGTGCCACCATAACAATGAAATAAAATAGTGACTCTACTGAAACATTGTTCAATAGTTGAATTACTGGGGTGGATGATAGGAATAATAATATCTCCAGTAAAGCAGCAAGTTCTCCCTGGAAGTAAGCAGCAGGGGCTTGCTCAGCCTACATCTAGTACATGAAGACACAATGTGAATCAACATTGAGTCATGACAACATTTGTAAAGATAATGACACAACATGACAAGCATGCAGAGGGAAACACACACACACACACACACACACACACACACACACACACACACACACACACACACACACACACACACACACACACACACACACACACACACACACACACACGAAAAGGGCCTCGTGGCTCCGCTCAACTACAAGACGCAAGAGGTTAGTCAACATGTAAGCAGAAATGTAGGAAAAGAGAAACCTTCTGCAGAGAGAAATATAAAGAAATATCAGGTAGAAGAAAGGAAGAGTTGAACAGTTGAGTGTTTCTAATTAATTTGAAATACAACTGATTAACCTTTTTTAAGTAGGAGTGTGTGTGTGTGTGTGTGTGTGTGTGTGTGTGTGTGTGTGTGTGTGTGATTTTTTTTCAATTAGAATTTGGTCGGATGATTGAAATGTTTGTGTAAATATGTGAACTTCATATATGTAAAGAAAACTAAAAGAACAACAACAACAACAACAACAACAACAGCACCACTACGGACTCTAATCACCATGACAACTACAACACCAGTTAGTGAGGCAACAGCCAAGGCTGGAAGAAAGAAGAATAAAATGAACAGTGACAGACGGACGGACCAGAATAGATGCAAGAAAATGTTGGACATGGAGCAGCCAAAAATAATCAGCAATCTAGAAGATAAATAAAATAAATAAATTCACAAGAGACAGCTTAAAAAGCGAGAGAACCAAAGGGAAGGATGAGGACTTTCCCTTCAGAAACAGATTATCAATGACAAAGAGAAATATGGAGAGGGAAATAAGGTATAAGGTTAAGAAAGAGAGGAAGTAAAAGAATAAAGAACTAATGTAGGAGCAGAGAGAGAGGCCGAAGGAGAGAGGGACGGATAGAAAGAGTACTACCAGATTAGATCTCGCGGTATAGTAGAGCTCCTCAACACAGTCCAGATAGGGCTCAGATTCACACTGGTCAGCAAGACAGAGCGAGAGAGACCTCAGTTAATACATTAACCTGGACTGATGGAGGCAAGGGCCGACGAGACACAGATACACGAGAGACGATGGTGGATGAGAAATGGATTAGGGCCAAAATGGGCTTTGAAGTCCGTGGATCAGCGAGAGAGAGGAAGAGGATGAGGAGGAGGAGGAAGATACTGGATTATTAATCTGAGAGGAAGAGGGGTATAGGTCAAGGGAGGGAAAGGACTGGTGTAGATGCAAAACTGGGGAGGAGAGGCATTAATAAATGTGATATATCATTGGTGCTACTTGTAGGGCTGCTCAATTAATCGTAGTTTAATCGCGATTACGATTATGACTTGCAACGATTACGAAAACAACGTAATCGAAGTAAAACGATTATTTTTTTATTATTACTTTTTTTTTTTTTTGGGTTTTTCAGTTGAATTATACATTCAGGGTATTCAACTGTTAAAACATACTGTTCACATTTTCTTTCTCCAATAAATTGATGTTTTCAAAGTCAATGAATAATCGCATTTAATAATCGCAATTACAATTATTGACCCAAATAATCGAGATTATGATTGTTGCCACAATCGAGCAGCCCTAGCTACTTGGTGCTTATATAAGACAATTGGAAACATCTGTCTTATTCCAGTAGTAATTCTTTTAATTAAGACATGATGCTATCTTAATACTGGTTCCTGGTGTTGTTGTGGGAAAGTTTGTTTTTGGTTAGCAGTGCCAAGCTGAAGGCAAGTTAGATTCAAGACTTTCCAATGCCTCTTTAATCAAATGAATTCCATTTAAAACCAATTGTCTGCACATTTCCTCTGAGACTGAGGTCAGCATGATTTTGAGGTAAATAATAATAAAAAAAGATGTTAACAAAGATTGTATATTGCAATTTGGGGGGAAACGCGGATCATAACATCCAAGGTCCTTTTTATAAGAGTTTTAAAGACTTTTGAAAGATTCATTTAAGTAATTTTAATACTAATTGTACAGATTTAAATAGTAACATGTACTGATGAATGAATACAATTCCTTTTATGGCATTTTAAGTATCCGCAGAAACCCTGATTTCACAGAAAAACATGCCGAAAATAACTCCAGCCATTGACTCCTTTGAGCATCAAAAATGCTGCCAGTATTTACATCATCAATAATATATAACAATATTAATGTGCTAATGATTTATTGATTCTAAAATGCTATATATAGCACCGTCATCCTGAATGGACAGATCTTGTGGAGGACCACCCGTGATATTATGTTACTTTGAAGCAAAGGGGAGGGACTGAGGGCCAATGGATGAATGTGGATTAACGTTAGGGCTGCTCAATGAATCATATTTTAATCGCAATTACGATTATGGCTTGCAACGATTACGTAAACGAAATAAAACGATTATGTTTTTATTATTACTTTTTTTTTTTTTTTTTCAAATACAATTTTTTTTTTTTGGGTTTTTCTGTTGAATTATACATAAAGTTCAGGGTAATAAACTGTTAAAAACATACTGTTCAAATGTTTGTTTTTTTCAACATATTTATGTTTTCAAAGTAAATTTTAATAATCGTGATATCAATTATTGACCCAAATAATCGAGATTATGATTTTTGCCATAATCGAGCAGCCCTAACTAACGTTACAAAGAACTACACTGGGGACTATGTCTCATAACATGAATCGATGGATAGACTCAGGATTAGGTATTTCTCAAAAGACTTGAAAAGGTAGAGGAAAGTGGAGTTGGTGGAAAGAGTGCAAGTGCAAAGGACGGACAGAAAAAGTGAGAGGGAGTGAGGGAACGGAGGACTTTAACATAACGTGACTGTGAACCCTTCACCACAAGCAAACACTCAGTAGCTCTAAAAGTGATGGGCAAAAACAGAAACAGCTTGAGTTACTCGAAAATAAACTTAGCAATGAACTATAGCTCAAACAGTACACATTTTACAACCAAAACTTTATAATGTAACACATTGTTTTAAGCCATAATATACATTTTCACTCTAACAAACAGAAAGGATACATCTCTGCCTATGCTTGTGAATAAGGAGACTCCAGAGCAAGATGGCTAATATAAGCAGTGCTTCACTGTCCTTGTTGTTTCCATGTCTAAGACTGCCTGGCTGTCACCACTGGGCTGGAGAGGTTCATGGTGGCGGCAGATGTTTTTCCAGCCACGTCAGCCAGCACTAACAGGTGGATCCGGAGGCTCTTCAGTCCATGTGGGACACATTATCCCTGATGCTCTGGGATATGCAAGAGTCTCCTCTGATTTGGACGTCCACAGGAAAGCATTCTCATCGGAGGCCTGTAACACCTCAATTGGAGCTTTTCAAACTATAGGATAAATGCTTCTATGTTTTTATTGTATCTAAGCGGCTCGCCTGAACCCTAAAATCACCCATACACTCTGATCTCTATCGAACTGATTTCATTCTCACCTACAATAAGATTTATCGGGACATCCCTACCTAAAATCGCTTCATGTGTGTGACTACCAGAGGGAACTATGTGGATGGGCTTCATGTTTAGTTTGACACAGACTGACAACAACATAGGGTGCTTCCTGTGAGTAGGTGAGGGTCAGCCATGCTGGTACTGGTGTTGACAACCACACGGACATACGCTCACTCTCCCACACACACACACACTAACACACATATGCCACAGGTAAAAACTCACCGGTTCATGATGAGGTTCTGTCTCCTTTCTCAGTGGAGGATCAAACTTAACTTGGCCAACTGAGAACGAAAAAGTAAGAGACAGAGTATGGGGAAGAAACAGAGGGGAACATCATGAGCTTCTCTGTTTATGAAGAGAGTCAGAAGGTTCAGGTTATCTGTTTTCTGACTCAAAGTGCATTTGTTGTTGTTGTTGTGAACTTGTGTGTGAACTCACAGTTTATCTCTGACAGCGTCTTTCCCTCCCTGGTGCTCCTGCTGATGGAGCGAATACGATGAGGAACAGAGACCGGGGACTATCAGGAAAGAGAAAGACACACACACAGTAAATAGCTGTTCAAAGGATATACACAGTGTAGTAGTTCAAACGGCACTGGAGAAGATTACAATAGGCTTTTAAAAATAACAATAATCCTTCAGCTATTTCCTGTGGGTGGGATTTGATGGCACAGCAAAATAAAAGCCAGCCGCACACTGCAACCAGACAACCAAAACATAGCAACGCAACCAACGGAAAACACAAACCTTCCCTGGCAACAACATTTCTTTTAGAATCTATTCTCACGAGTCCCGGTATGAAACGCTTTATTCTTATTATGCTCGAGGATATTCTGAGTGTGACTGCAATGCAGCACATTGATTCATGTTTTAATGTTGCAGACCCATGTGGGAAACAGCTGACAACAGACTTGGCATCACACTATATGCACTGACAACAGGGTAACTTTATTTCAAGTGTATTTCAACTTTACTGGCTCCACTTTCAGCATTTCATCTTAAGATTTATACTTGTCTTGTAGAACACAGAAAAACACAGCAACCTCAAACCATGCCTGTAAAGCACCGGGAAAAGACAAACCAAGGCAAAAACGCATCTGTCAAAGCCAACAGTTGTAGCACAGATCCACTTATAGACGTGTCCATTTAAAACCAACTCTTATCGGCGTAATCAAGTTCAACTTCATAACAAACAACTCATGGTTAGTAGTACCTGTAATTAGAGATGTCCCGATCCGATCACTTGATCGGGGATCGGAGCCGATCACGTGATTTTGAAAAGATCGGAATCGGGAGAAAAAATTTGGGGATCGGGATTTTTTTTCAATTTTTTTAAATACTTTTTTTAAAATGTTGTATTCAATGTTACAAAACAAAAATGACCATGTTCAAGTCTTAAAGTCATCCTGAGGCCTTATTTTTGGTTTCAAATTACACAACATCATGTATGTGTTGCTTCTTTGGGGCTTGTTTTCATAGACCTGGTTGCTTATTTCTCTCACATCTGGCAACAGAGTGGGCAGGGCGCAGTGTCTAATTGTAGCAGTAAGCTAACGAGTACTGATAAGCTTTATTTTGTTTTGATCCAATGCTGCACAACTGAACTGATCCAATGCTGCTGTGAAAAAAATAAGCTATATCCATGTTGGATAGAATATCCAATTTAAATAAAAAAAATAACCTTAAGGGACAACTTGAATGCTTTTTTTCTTTTTTTTCTCTTAATGCATTGCATAAAGATCAGATCGGGAAAAATCGGTATCGGCAAATTGTCAAAATCAAATGATCGGAATCGGATCGGGAGCAAAAAAAGGTGATCGGGACATCCCTACCTGTAATGGCAAAGATTGATGAAGATGGCTACCATATCGGACATATTTCAGTACTCCTCAACGTTTTCAAAATGTTATTGTATCTTAAAGTATAATAAATAATATATTTTGATTTATACAGAGCTGCATAAATATTCCTTAAAGTCAATTTAAAGATGATTTGAGTTACAGATGGGTAACCTTTACCGTATTACTGATGTTCAAATGTTTTCCCTAACAACAAAAGTCATGAGAGAAACCCTACCTCTCTAGAAGTGGGAAAATGCCAACACTAATTGTTTGCACCTTGGTTTGATGCAATATGCCGAAGAGAGAGAAGTGGTCACACTATGGTAGCCAGATTCACGAATCTAGCCATTTCTTTAAACCACAGAAAAAGAATGAAAGGAAGTGATAATAAGTGATCTGCTGGAGTTTGGACAAGACGGCAATAATGGTGTCATGGAAGTGAGCATAGTTTGTTTGTTGTCAATACTAAGTAAGTAAGATGAGTACGTACTGTAAGGAAGTGGCAGATTTGTTCCGGGTGTGTATTTTCAAATTCTAGCGCACTCGAGCTGGTTTCTCTACTTTTAAGTTGTGTTGTCATGTGTTCTCGATAGAATAAGATTTTAGTCATTTAGTCTAGCCAAAATGTTATTTCTTTCTCCTAAGGTTAATTTTGTTGTCATTGCTACTTCTACATCCATACTTAAATCAATGGCCATGTGTTTATCACAAGGCCAAAAGTACATCTATGTGGCTGTCTATGAAAATGGACTGTAATAATAATAAAATCAAAGATAATATACTTTTAATCAACAACGTCTGATGAAAAAGAAAATCCTGAACAAAAGTGCTCTATGGCATGTTGAGCCAATCACGTCACTGGCAATCCATCAGCCTTCAGATAAATGACATGCCAATGCCAGTTTCCATGACAGCACCAACAGACACTGCACTGAATGGAAATCTACTTTCTATTCATTCAGTCCTGTGGTCCTCCTCCTCCTCCTCCTCCTCCTCCTCCGAGAGAGAGACAAACACATCTGACAGCATCGTTTGTGTTAGAATGACATCACTGCAGACACCGCAGCCCAAACTGGTACCTTCCTGCGCGCCGCAAAGCGAGGTGCACGTCGAGCACCGGGGCTTATGGGTAGGAAATGACCCCTGTACTTAAACTGAGGAGGAGGTAGAAGATGGGGGGATGGAGACAAGAAGAGAGGAGAAAGAAAGGAAGGGAGAAAGAAGGAGGAGAGAAAGGTAGAGAGAGAAAGGAGAAGTGCTACAAGGAGGAAGAGAGGAGGAAAGAGGAAGTAGAAGAGCAGAAGATAAAAAGAGTGCAAAGAAGGAAAGGAAAGAGGGGGTGAGGGGGTAGGGGGGAGGACAAAGAGCAGAAAGATGAGTCACATGTGCCGGGGAAAAGGGAGACTGAGGTTGTGGAGGGTGAATAAATGGTGGTGGATGAAAAAGGAATTTAATGGAAAAAATAAATAATAATAAAAAAATAAGCGGGATCTAGTAAAAACATAAATCACTGTTCAGTTGCCCTGACTGCAACTCGAGAAGGTCAAAGGTTACCTCTGGTTCAGGGTCATCGTCGTCAAAGTCGTTGAAGGTGCTGTGGTCGGGGTTGTTGGATTTGTCCAGCAGCTCTATGGCCAGCGTCCTGCTGAGAGGCTGGGACACAAAGGGGTGCTGGAGGACAAAGGAGAGGGAGGGATGTGTTAAAATGGATCTTTTCTTGTCTGACTAATACCTAAACAAAACTGAGGATTTCAAGTGTCCTGGTGTACGACGCTGTGACAGATGTTTGGTGTGTTGCTTGACAAATGACTAAAATGGTTGCACGTCAAAACTATCATACACTAGATTAACATTCAATCTATTGGCTTGTCATGTAATAGATAAGTAACAGCTGTGGCAATAGTGAGAATGAATTTAGCAGCCAACACCTCTTGTTCAAATATTATCACAAGCGGATTGTTTGCCTGACTTTTGTTTACATTTGAGTTGACCCATTTTATATATTACACAACAATTAATTTACAAACTGAAGCATTCGCTATCTGATCAATAAAGTCAGACTGAAGCACTCCTTTGTGCACCAGTCGATCCTCACAGTAAACACAGAGCTAAATCCCAGATCAAATGCACGCTGAAGGCTCTTTGAGCATGTTTTCTCTCACTGATTGTGCTGTTATGTTAAATGTTTGTTGTTTGTGTTTCATGTATTGGATATTTGTCTGTTGATGTTGGACATGGACAAGTCAAATTTCAGACTTGATCTGACCAATAAAGTATTATCGTATCGTATGATCTGGGAATGTGGTTCGCCTGTATTTTACGTATAATGTACCGCTGTAAAATGTCATGATTTTGAAAGTTGACATACTTATAAAAGCATAAATGGGGCGAAGCCTGCGAGCTAGTTCAGGCACTCAACTCGAGCACCAATCATACATTAACACGTGACGCGCCTCGTCCCTCTTACAACCAACCAAACACATTCTCCTAAACATGCCGCTCTATTTAAGCTGCCAGGTCTTCCTGCCTCGCTATTGCTGCTGCTGCTGTGTTCATGTTGCTGCTGCTTGCCTGCCCCACGTCCACCCCAGCTTCCACCCAGCTTCCACCCAGCTTCCACCCCAGCTTCCACCCCAGCTTCCACCCCAGCTTCCACCCCAGCTTCCACCCCAGCTTCCACCCCAGCTTCCACCCCAGCTTCCACCCCAGCTTCCACCCCAGCTTCCACCCCAGCTTCCACCCCAGCTTCCACCCAGCTTCCACCCAGCTTCCACCCCAGCTTCCACCTGTAGGCTCGGGGGATAGTTATCTAATCATCACTCAATGTTCTTTGTAAATCTGTGGAGTGATGAGGCCCGAGCCTAGACGCCAAACTTCAACTATATGCTGCTTCTACGTGAGTTGTCTGACTGAATAAGCTTTGTTGTTGAAATAGTGTAACCTGCAGAGTGTATCCATACATAGCAGTAAAGTTGGGATGGGCTACCCTATTTAGAGTCATCTGTTTGTTTTAAAGAAGTGTAAACGTGGTGTTTTCTCACCTGCAGCAGCTTCTCAGCTGTGGGCCTCTTCTTGGTGTTCTTGGTGAGGGCTAGTTTGCAAAAATGGTGGAAGTTATTTGTCCTGGAGAGAGAGGGAAAGAGTAAGGGTTAATATGTTGGTCTTGTGACAAGCAGGGCAGATGTTTGATCAAACTGTGTAATCTTCGCATGGCAGCGTTGCATCTTAATCATATCTCAATGGATGAAGGTAGTAAAGAAGGGGGTCTCTTACCATTTCAATTTATCTTTCAACTTAGGAGGCTGGAAATTACTCTTGGTCATTAAGAAGAGAGCCCTGCAGAAAAGAAGAGAGGAATTAAACACCAGTACTGACACATAACGTGAAATAGCCTTAAAGCATGCACTTATAATAAAACACTTGTTGCATTTCATCAGCAAGAAGCATTTACAATATCGGCCTTTTGTCTCACAAGAGGTGTAATAAATACAATTAATGATTGATTTGATGGTTCTGTATTTGGTGAATTATAAAAACGTACAAAACGTGAAGTGATACATTTTAATAAACGACTTATTAGGACTATAAAAAGTGATGGAATATCTCCACTCCAATCACAATGTGTAGGAAGAATTACACTTTCCATATCACATTAAAACAAGGCCCTTTCTTTTGAAAATATAACATTGTTTCCCATCGACTGCAGGTCTCCACGCTGCCATCATCACATTATCTCCGCCCAAATAGCTTTTCTACCACACACACACACACACACACACACACACACACACACACACACACACACACACACACACACACACACACACACACACACACACACACACACACACACACACACACACACACACACACACACACACACAAAGTCCTCTACCTCATGGGGTGCAGGTCAAACATGGGGGGCTGTAGTTCAGCCAGCTCTATTGCCGTAATGCCCACAGCCCAGATATCACACAGCTGGTTGTAGCCTCCTTTCCTCTCGACTGCTGCTACCTCTGGAGCCATCCTATGGAGCGAGACAGAAGAGGGGAGACAGAGGGAGGTCATGACAAAAAAGAAGGGATAGAATAGGAGGAAAATATGGACTAAACCAGGTTAATTAAACAGCCACACACATGAAAAACGGTTTCTACAGCTTTTCTCTCTAGCTGCTGCCCTGAGGGGCCCCACAGTGACCCCTGATGTTAACCTCTGACTTTATAATGTTCCTTATTCTGTAGGAGTCCCTTCAGGACTAAAGAAATGTGTTGTTGAGGTTTTGTTAAAGTAAGAATAGTGTGGTTCTACTCGATATGCACTTAGAACTTATCAGCTAACTCAATAGATACCTGATACGTACAAAATGCATGGTGGAAAATTCCTGTTGGATGACACATTTCATCATACCACATGACGTAAGAGACTTTATTGAATTCCAACGCATTCCCCAAACTGATTGCCTTTTGACCTCATTCAGTAAGAAGTTGTATAATATACATAACATATGCAATGTCAAAGGACATGGAGGAGTAAAAAACGAACCAGTATGGAGTTCCAATGAAAGACTTCCTCTTGGCGAGAGTTGCTGTGATCTGGGCCGATACTCCAAAGTCAGCTATGGAGAGAAAAAGGACGAGAAGAGAACAAAGGGGGGAGAGGAAGAAGGAAGAAGAATAAAAAAGAGAAAGGATGATATGAAGGGGGAGACAGAAAAAAGACAGAGAATGAAACCGAGTCCGTAAGAGAGGCCATTCAGGTTCAGTCTGTCGAAGCAGAAGGTGATTGCAGATCTCTGCGTGTTCCACTCACCTAGCTTAACGTAGCCGTTGTCTGTCAGGAGGATGTTTGCTCCCTGCCAGACACAAACACGCCACATATCAGCATCAAACTAAAGATTTCACACTTCAAGTCAATTCAAATTAACTTCAGTTAAAGGAGCAGGCAGCAGTGAAGGTTTGCTGCAAAGTGCCTTTTCCCTGATCAATGCAGCCTGCAGCTATGAATCAATTATCAGTTTCATTGGAACAAACACAAGCAGCTGAACAATTATCACTAAATGACTGCTGGCTTTATTTCCTGAATTAATTTATCATTATTTACCTCTCATTGAAATGCAAGTCTTAAGTACACACGGCCGGTACAGTGAAACTGCGAATGGCTCATTATGGCTCATCATCTCCTTACTCAATTAGTTCATGAAGTTTGTAAATGACTTAAAATAAAAGATACTTCACAACCATGTGGTGGACAAAAATCACAGAAAGAGAAGTGTGAAAAAAAGTAATCTATTACAACAGGTGTGTCAAACTCAATTTCATCGCGGGCCACATCAGCATTATGGTTGCACTCAAAGGGCCGGTTGTAACTTTAAGACTATATAAAAATACATATACAAATATTTAATATAAAATAATGTATTATTACATTATTGCCTCTGCATTGGATTATTATCTGATAGGGTAATAACTTCATAATTAACTATGTCTGAAAGCAGAAGTCTATGGCAAATAATTGCAAGTCTCTTCAGTGAGAATGTCAAAAAAAATGATTTTAAAAGAAAAGCCAAATTCTGAAGAAAAAAAAAAAAGGGAAATTTGGGGGGAAACGTGATATTTTGAAAAAAAAGTTACATTTTTTAATTCGGAGAAATAGGCAAATTCTAAAAAAAAAAGCATATTTTGAAGAAATAAAATTCAAATTCTGAGAACAATGTCAAATTTCAGATGAATTGTGGGACATGTAGTTTATGGGCAACGTGCTCCTGTACAGCGGCATGTAACCTTATAATAAACTGATNATATGCTTTGCAAGCTCTTGTGGGGCCACATCAAATGAAGTGGTGGGCCGGATTTGGCCCCCGGGTCTTGAGTTTGACACCCCTGTATTACAACAACCCAGCTTTGATTCCTCTGAGAACATTTGAGAGTGTTTGATTAAAAAGTCAGGTTTTAAGGCTGTATTCTGTGTCGCCATCGTAGTGATTTATACTCAAACAGGAGGTTAGAAGTGACTTGGAAAGGCCTTAAGTATTCAAACATGCTGGCATGCGTTTATTTCCATACAGTTGTCTCCAAACTCACCTTGATGTCTCTGTGCATTTTGCCTTTATTGTGTAGGTAGTATAAACCCTGTGAACACAAACACACAGCAGCTGGTGTTATTGACAGTGGCAGAATAAAGGAAACAGTCATGTGATCAAATTAACAACAGGGCTAGGTAAAACTAAATGACTTTTCGTTATTGTCAAAATAGATATTTTTCATCAGGAACAACTGGTGGTTCAATAAAAAGCAGATGTTGGGAGATTGGCTCAGCTCACAGTTGGGAGCGCTGACATTATCTGTGACACTTTGCAGTGTTTCCTCTGTCATAGTATGCAGTTGGGAAATAAATCCCGTTTTTTTCCCTTACAAATATCCTTTTAGTTTAATTTATGATTTGATTTGAGTGATTCCCCTTTCATTTTGAACATGTACAATACCATTTATCTTTTAAATCGTAAAAAAAGTAATTTTCTAAAAAGCACAAGGAAGACACTTTTATCAACATACAGCAAAGGCCAACTATTACTCAAGATAAATGCTAGTGCTAGCATGAAGCACTGCAGCAAACAGCTCATCATTATTAATAGTATTGAAGTCTACGGTCTTATAATTTCACAAAAAGAGATATCTAAGCATTTCCAGGTCAGCCGATTAACGATTAGACCTAACCTGTGTGTATTCCCCCTCTCATATTAAAGTGTAGTGTATTTGTACCTGCAGAGTCTCCCGTGACATGTAGGCTATCTGTGACTCTGACAGAGGCCCGGTTACTGCAGGAGGCAAACAAGGGGGGAAAAAGACGGATGAGTTAACATCACAGTGTGAGAAAGGGTATAAAAACAGCACAGTTCAAATCAAAATGTGTGTGTTTGGTTGTTCTTACCATGATAGATATCCTGCAGGGAACCTCCTCCACAGTACTCCATACTGATCCATAACTTATCTCTCCTGTAGCACACAGAGAACACAGTGTAAGAACATCTTTCCCCAACACTTATCAGTCTTTTACTTTCTCACACACACCATATTTGACCCTCTTTGACAAATATATGCTACGACAACAGGCATTAACGTCATGAATATATATAATCCATTTATCAAATATCCCAAATACATTCACACACACTTACCGGAGATAACTGCCAAAATAGGCTACGATGTTGGAGTGCTTACAGTCTTTCATCATTATAATCTCCTGCTGGACGACAGCAAAGTCCTCACCTGGAATGACACGTGTAGACACACACACACACACACACACACACACACACACACACACACACACACACACACACACACACACACACACATTATATTATACTGATAATCTGCTATCTTAATGCTTGACATGGTTATCATTATTCACGAAGCAACAGAAAAGTGGATAAGTGGGTTTGTTCATTGACGTGTGCCTCATTAGTGTGTGTGTGTGCGTGTGTGTGTGTGTGTGTGTGTGTGTGTGTATGTCAGTGTAACAGGATGGAAAGCAGCAGAGAGGGTCTTAACATAATTTCCTTCATTGAGTTTCACAATGTAAGACCTTAATTATTTAGCAACAGTGTGAGGGAAACATTTTCTTTATTTTCTTCCTTAACGTAGGAATGGAAAATGGAAACCAAAGCAGCAGCTGAGTGAAAAACAGGTCTGATGAATGAAACAGAGCTTAAGGAAAAAGATGGTGAGAGAACTGCAGGGAGGAATTAAAGAAAATTTGAGGAAGACTAGGAAAAGGGGTAAGAGAAGATGGCAGCCAAAAGGGAGATACAGGAATCTGAAGAAAGATGAGATAACTCACCCGGTTCCAGTTTGATGACTTTGATGGCGGCCAGCTCTCCTGTGTTTACATTTCGAGCCTAAAGGACGGAAAGAGAGAAAGTGAGTCACTGAAATACAGAAACCAGCCCTTTATATGACTTTCGGGAAATCAGGCAACACGTTGATCCTGGCTACATGTTTGCCACATCATTTAACTAGCCATTTAAACCACTTTGGTTATAATGGAGAAATGTACATGGGAAAAAACAGCAGGCGCTTTTAAACTGTGTAAAGCCCGCGTCACACTGTCCCGAAGTTGACACCAGATGGAAACACGAATATGGAATTGTGAATTTCGCACGAAGATGGCCCCGAACTTGGTCAACAGCCAAGCAACAGCCGAAGCAAGTACGATGCCTACAGAAGGCCACACGATGGCGCCCGAACCACACACAAAGGCAACATTTACATTACATTTAAGACATGCGACTGCAACGAAAGTAACACAAACAATGTGATATCCTTTTCAGTTTCACAGAACACAAATTGGGTTATTTACATAATATGTTTACATGATTTTGTTGTGCAATAAATATAAATGCAATCTCGATGTCATCGTACTATAATTCGATGGCTACACGACAGCATTGCGAAAGCTTCACGTAGTCGTGTTGCCTTCCTAAGACAATCGGGCAGCTTCTTGTTTCCCTTGTATTGTCTACGTGAGGCGAAAAATGCCCGATGGCACCGATGATCAGACGAAGTGAAGACGAAGATGACACGATTGGACAAGATGCCCTCACGCTGGCCTTGCAAAGGGCAAAATGGACACACGAATTCAACACGAAAATAAACCTTCGCAAGGTCTTTTGGCAATTGTTTGGCATGCCAAAGATTTTGCCACCGCTCACGAAGTTGCTGCCGGAGCCTGAGAAACTCCACCAGCGGTCATACGATGGCTTAAGATGCCTCACGTATGTCCCGATGTTGTTACGATCAGAGACGAATTTTAACATTTCCTTTATCGTGTGTACATCTGGTATCCATTTCGGGACAGTGGGCGGGCTTCTCAATTACCTTTAATTAATTTCTCTGACACTTGATTCCTCGTCCTTTATCATGTCAGCTAATGCCAATGAATAGAGCCTTTTTTTAATCAGCAATCTTTCTCATGTATTGAGGTTGTATCAGGGTTCAAATGTTTGCCCTGCGTAATATGTTCGTTATTCCTCAGAACATGAATTGTTCACTATGTAGTTTGCAGCAGCTGTTTAGCCATTTCAAAATACCAGAAGACATGAATAGCACACTCACAGCTAATTTAAAAACACACACACATAACGTGGACTGACGTGTACAGTCAAGCGTTTCCTGTATTCCTGAAAAGCTGACATTTATCGAGATAGCAGTGGTTTAGCAGGACACTGAGGCTGACTTTCTATAAATAGTGAGCTGTGTTTACATTTAGCAGCAGAGCTGGTGAGGCAGCAGAGGAATTCTATATGAAATATTCATGAATAAAACATGCTCTTTCAGAGGAGACATGAATTGCTTCTCTCAGACCAAGAATGTGCCAGTATGACTGCGAGTGACATTGCAGAAGTATGAGAATGAGAAGCAGTGTTTGTGAGTGAGCGGGAGAAAGAGGCGCCTTTACTGAAGATAACTGATCAAAACAAGACTTCAAACAAGAAGTTAAAAACCGTGAACAGACTGTGAGCAACGTGTCATGCCTTAAACTAGGGCTGAACGATTAATCGGTTTTAAATCGAAATCGCGATTTTAATTGATGTGATTATCAAATCGCAAAGCCTACGATTAATTATTATTAATTTTTTTTTTTTTTCTTGTGTGTCAGTCATCCACACCAATCAGAAGTGCTGTGCTCCACATGTACCAGCCATTGTTAACCAATCAGAAGTGGCCCATGATAGAAGGTGATAGACAGATTGATCCAATCACCTGCCAAGTATTTTTGAAAGTGCCTGCCCTTTCCAAATGGCTTCCAATGGAGCTTCCTAGATGGTTTGGTGAAACAAACCATCTGAGTCAGGTTAGTAATGCTCCATCACATGTTTTAAATCTATTACAGGGTGAATCTTAAACTGAAGCTTGACTTTAAAGCAACCCAACAGAGGTTTCATGTAAGTTTAGTTCTTTCACTCGTAGCTCGGGCTGCGGGTGAGAGACGGGAGCACGTTGATACAACCTTCCTATCCGGAGATATGGCCGCATTTTACAATAAACTTCCGTTGGGTCGCTTCAAAACAAATATCGCAAATCCAATCGCAATATCTGTCAGAAAAATCGCAATTAGATTATTTCCCCAAATCGTGCAGCCCTACCTTAAACGCTTCTATCCTGAATGGAGACAACAACAGAGACAGACACACCCTCATCTACCCTGAGACTAAACAGCATATTTATGCAACATTAGAGAGAAAAACATGACATTTTCCTAATTGTTCTGGTCTGTTCACTTTATTGGGACGTTGTGACATAATGGAGGGTATACGTTCTGCTTTTAAAATGAAATTCATAAATCCTCAAGCATTGGAGGCATTTCTGTTTCCCTATTATCACACCAGGAACAAACACTTTCATGACTGATGACGAGTTTTTTTATTATGGCTGCACGATACGAGGAAAATAAGTTGTGTGTATATTGTGATTGTAATCATGCGTGGGATAAATAAATAGATACTTAAGTTTAACTTTCTAACGTCTGTCTTTCAGTTTACTGCCGAAATACATGATATAGCTTATTGAATTACGGTAACTATTTGACTATTATTTTCACCAGTTTTATAGCATGCTCCAACTCAAAAAATCATGTTGTCAATAAAAACAATATATGTGTGTTTTTCTACACATCCTTAGAGTTATATTTAAAGAAATTAGGGCTGTGTCATCTTGATGTGGAGTGTTTGAATTTCAACTCAGTTGTTTGTACTAACTGCATTTACCTCCATAAAGACAAGACTATTAATAAAAAAACGTTTTCAGAAAAATACTGTTAAATTGAAAGTAGAAAGCAATGTTGGCTGTTCTGGCATTATCAACGGCTCTAACCCATTATAATGTCACAGTGTTCTGTGATAGAGGGATGCATAATGTGCAAACTGAACAGCTCAGTCAGCACGAGCAGCGATAGCCACCACGGCTCAGGGGGAAAGAAAATGGCACCAACAGAAACTCAAATTTCACCAACAAGGCACATCAGCACTGCCCACACAAGAGGCCTGCAAAAACAGTAACACAATAGTGATGACAAGACTAAATAAAATGAAAAAACCCAAGGAATACCACAGCAGAAAACGACAGCACTAAATAAATCAACCAGTGACATGAAAGACAACAATTAATTGTACTTCTGTCAATGAAGAACGCAAGGATTTGATCTAGAGCAGGGGTGTCCAAACCTTTTTCACCGAGGGCCACATACAGAAAGATATACGAAGGGCTGGGCCACTCACTAGAGGTATACTGCCTCATAAGTTCAGTTATAAGTTAGCAAAAACAATCAAATGTAGGTAGATGATGCTCGTGAGTGTTGGCAGCTCGTCCCTTCAAACAGAAGCCTCAGATTAATTATAATAAAGAGAAATATGAAGAGTGTATTTCAAGCTTGTTTTGTAAATAAGTCATTGGGCTTTTTTATTATCAACTAAGATATGTTGGAAAATGTTTCCAACTGTAATTGACTGAATGTATTTGAAAAGTGGTCTTATTAATAACATATGAAAACTACTGTGTAATATATGTTTACATTTATATTTAAGAAGTATAATATAAGACAAGCACAAGTTTCATTTGTGGGCCATATTCCGTTATACTTTTTGAATTAGCTGAGGGCCGATTCAAAATGGTCCGCGGCCGCAATTGGCCCCCGGGCCGTAGTTTGGACACCCCTGAGCTAGAGGAAGACCAAGAGAGAAGAAGAACAACAGACGACGACAACCCACACCAAACAAAGCTGAGGCAGGGAGGGAGGGGACATAAAGAGACGTAAACAGTGCAGGAGAAGACAGAAGCCGAGTGGAGAGCAGAGACAGTGTCTTCAGTCAGCAGACACACAACAGATGACGCATAGCGCTCACAGAACAACACAGCCTGACTTCACTGGACGAGGGACCGACTGCAGCATCGCTCTGATCACCGATAACTACAGTAGCAACTAAAATGAATCTATAGTATAAGATAAGACAATACGTCACTGACAACAACATAGACAGACACAGATTAAAACAAACGGACATAAGAAAACCAGATATCGGCAGACATGACAAGGGGCCTATAGGCAGATCTGTGATCATCCAGGCTTTTTCTCAAACTTTCATGCAGACACAAACTCAACGTTTCCACCACAAAGTGTGATTTCTGCGATACATATGACAATGAAACCTTTGAATCTTTGAAAAAGTTAAGAAAGAAGGACATTTTATTTTGCCTCCAAACTATTGCATTGCCACATGGCTTGATATGGCATGGCTTCTACTACACAGTAATGAAGAAACTAAGCTTATATCCATTCTTAACACTGCTATTAGGCCGTGTGTGTGTGTGTGTGTGTGTGTGTGTGTGTGTGTGTGTGTGTGTGTGTGTGTGTGTGTGTGTGTGTGTGTGTGTGTGTGTGTGTGTCATATATCCAGCATATGGACAGCTCAGTGGAGGCTTGGTGTGACATTTCACTCTCTCCTCTCTCTGACCATGAAAAACAAACAGCGTAAGCAAAAGGCAGCGCTCTGTGCTGATCACACTCTGTAACCCTGCAACTAGAACAAACAGGAATTAATTTCATTTGATTCTATATTTGGTGCTTTTTAAAATTGTGTTAAATCTGACAGACACTATTTACAGTTCATTCTGTGCGACAGTTGTCATGGGAGACTAACTCCTGGCAGTTGGCTTGTCTGGTAGACTGTTTTGCATAAGGTCAGAGGTCAATGAAGGGTTGTTTCAGGTGCCAGGTTCATGTCGAGTATTCACACTCACTCTCTGCCTAATTATAGATGATGGGAACCAGCAAGGACTCCAGATTGAAAAGCATTTCATTTACCGATTTAATGACCATTTTAAGGATACAAAAAATGACTAATACTGTGGTAATAAAATATATGATATACAGCTTGTGATACGGATGTAGACATGACGATGCTGTGATAAATTCTTCCTAGCCTATTAGAGTGGATGTATTAATTGGTAGATTATATGATTTCATTGAATCGGATACCCAAAAGAATATACGATTGTTAAGAGGAAAGTTATTTAGTTTCTCTGTGTGTTTGTCGTTGCTGTCCGTTCTGGAGAAAGAGTGTTTCTGTCACTGTCGTCTCCTGTCAAGGTGTCAGACGTTATCTAACACAACTTGAAAAACTTGCCCGCTTAACTTTTCATTGTGTTTACATTCTATCTCATTCTCAATCAGTACTTTGACATTTCCAAGACCGTTAGTTGAAAAGACAATCTTGCCCACGGTTTTCCAACAATGGCCTTGGAGGAGGGGGTTCACACTCACACGCATATGACGGAACAGCCGGATTATTCTGCTACAGTGAGTTTGGGCATTTAGGCCCGAGGCATTTATTACTGCAGGAGTTGTTAATTCACTTCCTCTGAAGATTTTTACCAGAGATTTGAGGTTGTGAAAAGGTTTTATATACTCAACCATTCTTCTTTGACCTTAAAGACTTCAGGCCAAGCAGCAGTTTTCTTTTACTTCATGTATTCTACTTCAACCTATTGACATTACCCACATTGACACATGCATTTCCAAATGTTTATACTACTATCATGTGAAGACCTCTGTACTCCTGTCTTTTTGTCTTGAGATAAAATAGGATATCTTCTGATGGTTAACAAACTTCTAAACACTTTCAAAATCCATTGGAACATTTGAAAAACGACTGACACCAAGCTAAAGACAAAACAGCTCTTCTTAGTCTTTTTCTGCAACATTTTGAAACAGGATTTCCCCACAAGGCTTTGAATTAAGTAACGTGAGACACACACAATGAGCACATCAGATTATCTCGCTCAAAGTAAAGTTCTTATTTAAGCTGTCATCTCACCACTCATAAGAACCAAGGGGTCAAAGATTGACGGCTATCGCTGTTACATTCTTTAAGTCAAAGCTAGATTCATGAACCATGTTGTGTCCAAGTTGTAAAGGCACCACTCTGCATCTTGTTTTCCCAGAGAGCTACACAGCCATTACAAGGGCATGGCCCCAGGAGGGGAACAGGTGAGGCAGTGAAGTGTGTTTAATTAGCACACCTGTCTTTCCACAAAATAACCAGTCGCTGAAGCAAAACACGATTAAATGCGTGCTCACAAACGCAAGCTTTCTTCCATTCAGGAGCTTATATGTTAAGAACTGAAACCCTTCCTCCATACACCACAATCTAATCTATGCTGAGTAGTCATTTGATCTAGTATTTAGTATAGAAATCCTTCTTTCTTAAAGTGATGGCTTCTGCCAATAGCAATATAACTGCAGTTGTTTCCAATACATGTCAACAGGGACCAAATGAAATCATTGAAGTGGAGCTCCAATGTAAACTATATGGCACAACATCACAAAGCAGTTTCATTAAGTTTGAGAACTTGGCTTATCTTGAAATAACTTAATCTCAACCCTACTCTTTTAAATCCATCTGATTCAAGAACGTTTTGAAAGACGGTTGAGGTTGTTGTTCAAAACTAAGAAGAACAAGTGCTGTACAAAATGTTTGATTAAATGAATGTAGCTGATTCTCCATCGGCACTGATGAAATCAGCATGTGGTGTCGGCCTGTGATTTCACATACCACACACTCCTGCTATACTGACACACCCCAACAGAGTGTGCATGAATCAATGCATGTGGAGTGAGTGTAAGACGTTTAAGGCTGCATAACGAATCGGTTCAGCGTCAACACTTTGACGTGCCCAGGAGAAATAGTCACATAAGAGCCGAGGTATAATATCGTGCTACAACTTTTATGCTGCTCGATGCTTGAAGAACTTCACAGTCCTCATTCTCCATGAATAATCTGCAAAAGTCTATGTGATATAAATAAATAACTTAATCAAATGTAAGGGTAAACACAGTTTGTTTCTTGCAAGTTACATGCAGGTTCTACTTGAACAAGGAACCGTCAAAAACTACAACCGTAGACAATTTCTCAACCAACCAAGCAGGCCTCTCTCGACTCTCGAGAATAACCGAGGAACTGTAGAAGAAACAACTGAAAGAAAGGAGATGTGGTTTCAAAGCGAAACATAACAACACTTCTTGTATTGAAATATCTCAGCTACAGACAGGATGATGTTGACCAGAAACAAATACTTTTATTTCTTCTTTTGCAATGTATAGCAACACAAACAATATTGCATGTTTGTTTCCAATATTCTTCATCCATAATGCAGTTTAAGAAGAGTCAAAACCAAACACGCAATGACTCAATATTCCCGCCACCCTTCATTGCTCATGTTTCATTTCTAATCTGAGGCGATCATTTGGTGTAAAACAAACATTTAGTCCAATACAGGTCTAAGCTCCTCCAACTATCACATGAGTGCACAACCTCAAAATAGCATTTCACACTTGTGCTAACATGATGCCAAGATTTCCAGCAGCAGATTTGTACCCTGGCAGAGATTTGAATACCAAAGGTGCTCAAAACAAACCTCCAAGACGTATTCCCTTCCCGGTTAGTCAGTGACCAGCTTTTAGTTTAAGGGACACATTACTCTCGCTGGTGTGCCCATCATTGCATGGTTAAGAGCTTAAATGTTAAAAAAGGAATTCATTTCTTAGATTTAATGAATTAGAGCTTGGGGATTGACAGTAGCAGCTCTTCTAGAATAACAGTTTTTACAGATAAAACATAGCACTAGGGCTGCTCAATTAAAATCGTATTTTGATTTTTTTGGCCTGCAACGGTTAGGAAAACAACATAATCGAAATAAAAAGATTATTTTTTTGAATTTGTTTTTCAGTTGAATTATACTTACAGTTCAGGGTAATCAACTGTTAAAAGCATACTGTTCAACATTTTTTTTTCAATAAATAGATGTTTTCAAATTAAATGGATAATTGTTTTTAATAATCGTGATATCAATTATTAACCCAAATAATCGAGATTATAATTTTTGCCATAATCGAGCAGCCCTACATAGCACTGTAAATAATATGTGCATCTGAAGGGGAAGTCCCACAGACGTCTTCACCCGTCACACCATTATTTATTTTGTGTTGACCCGCCCTGCAGAGTGTCATGCCATTCACTGTCTGCACTGCAAACAGTCTGCAAACCAACAGCTCATCCCTGCAGGCCCTTTGTTAATCATTCAGTATTTTATTAAGAAGCAAATACTAGCAGCATGATCTCTAAACTTTGATAATGGTTGAACTGGACGTTAATTAACCCGCTAAGCCCTGGACTGGCTTGGCCATTTGTTTGCATAGTAAAAATAAATGTACCGGTAATGCTTTAAGCAGGCGATGGAAAGTCTGTTTTGAAAGTCTGTTCAGACGCGAACTGTCAAATAATACACTGTAGACTGTGAAGGCATCGGTAAGACATACAAGACTTCGTAAATGAAAGGAAAGTAAAATTAATTTCCAATAGGTTTGTCACATCTATAGTTTTCACGACACACAGTAGAGTTCACAATATAAATAAAAGTTAAACATGTTAAATAATGCTCAGGTAAATTCACTTTGTCTATATCACCGCAACCCTACTTTTACATTAACCACTCTATTTAGGGCCTTTAATAAGTCTTTACTGAATACCACTACTTACTGACGGAAATGTAATTTCATTTTTTAAACCATAACACCAAAGACACCAAACAGCTACCTGTAAGTACAGCGGCTGAATGTCAAATGACTTCAGAGCTATCTTTCTTACTGGTACATCTGGTTTAGTCTCTTGCCCCTACACCGTGTCATTAACTGTAACCATGCTATGTAACTAACTTATCAATATGTCACAGCACCAGTTACATAGAGACAAATTCCTGCACGCAATAATTATTTTAGTTCACACACTGAAACCAGACAGCCAGGATGGGGACTTTATTTCTGATCAAAGACCGAAGAGGATATCAGGAACCTTGCTTCGCTTCAGAGCTATTTGTGAATGCACATCCACCTCAGAGAGGAACCACTGGAGGAGCAGAGACAAAAACAGGATGGTTCTGGGCCAGCAGCTCTTAATTGTGACTCCACAGCCAGATATGTGTGTGTGTATGCATGTGGCAATACAATCATACAGTTGTGTGTGTGTTGTGCAGCAGGCTACTGGACTAGTGTAAAACAATAGGACATGAACACACACGAAGGAAGTGAATATTCCTGGACCAGGGCTGCCCAGCTGTGACACACACACACACACACACACACACACACACACACACACACACACACACACACACACACACACACACACACACACACACACACACACACACACACACACACACACACACACACACACACACACACACACACACACACACACACACACCTTTTTTTCAATGAATTGTAATTGTGCATAGCTACTTCATTTTAAGCTGCAGTGATTAGTTGATTTATAAATTAGCCATCATCAGAAACAATAAACGACTGGATGGTATTTTTTTTATAGCAGAACTGCTGTTTTGTTAAATATTATAGATACTGAATCTTCTTGGGTTTTGGACTGAAACACTAAACATTTAAAAAGACATCGCCATGGAAAAACAGGGATGAAACTTATTACCATTTTAAATTTCATATACCAAAGAAATAATCTAGAAAATAATCAGTAAACTAATAGACAGTGAAACAAATTGTTAGTTTTTGCTCTACTTAATATAACTTAAAGGGGACCTATCATGCTAAATGCACATGATGTCTTTTATACATAAAGATGTGCCCCGGTGTGTCGGGGAACTTACGCAGCGTCAGAAAATAAAACCCTCTCTCTTTTCCTCCGTACCCAAATCTCTAAAAACGGAGCTGATCCAGATTTGCGTCCGATATGACGTAATATCGGAAATGTAGGCTGGCTTTACACCCACAGCCCTATCAGAAACAATGGCCGACTGTTTTGGACGTAATATGGTCGGTGTTTACATTAGCATCGCTAACACTCAGAGCTAACCTGTACTGGAGAGCATGTGTGTGAAGAAGCAGGAAATAAAAAGGAACTCACCTTGTGGTATAACCGGCAAGAGAGAAAGCCTTTGAGCTCCATACTGTTTCAGAAACAATCCTTGATAATCCATGATATGGCGTTTCATCACGGCAGTATTTAGTTTAGACAGTAGCTGCCGGGTCCCGCATGAGCTCAGCCCCCTCCTTTTTTTTAATCAATTTTTTAAAGCTTTATACCCCAAATCAGCACTTTTGAAACAGGAAGTGAAATGGAGGGATATGAGGCATGGCTAGAATGGGTGATCTGTTTGGTATTTTGAGCAAAACACTTCATAGACATGTTTCTTATATATTTGTATATATCTGAGACCTATGCTATTGCCTAAAAATAGCATGATAGGTGACCTTTAAATCACGGACTTGTGGATATGAACACCCTGATGTCTTCCAATTCCTTTTAAGAGGAATTTATTAAGAAATGATTACCACAATGTTGCCAATCATGTTATTTTTATTTATATTAATTAGGTGCGTCAAAAAAACAAGTTGTCAACAGTCGTCATACTGTGCTGGTAAACTCACTAGAAAAGCATGAAAAATGTGCAAGAAAAACAAAGTCTGGTAGCATTTCTTGCCACGTACGTGTGAGTCCCAAAATACCCAGATGGCTGGCATGTTTTCAGAGCACACACACTGCTACAGAAATTGATTTGTCATTAACTGATCTCTGCTGCGATTGAAGGCTGTTGTCCGCCTCTACTTCCTCAATCCACAGCCACTGTCACCTTGAGGAAACAAGCAAGTCATCCTATCCAAACAATATGAGTGACGTCATACCCTGTGTGATGGTAAAGACTTGGCATGTGCATTTTCTTCTGAAGCGCAGACAGTGACCGCTGCTGTTACTACGGCACCCAGAAAACAGGTTTGCATGGATGAAGAGCAACATGTAAGGCTACTACAAGAAGCTCTTTTGAAACACTGTTAATTACCAAATGACATTTCAAAAGAAAAGCATTGCCTTGTTTATATAGCATCCTTAGCATCCAGCACAAAACAGGCTTTCTATATAAAGCTTGGCTCATCAACTTCAGATATTTCTCCTATTGAGTTAGTCTGGTTTCCAGCATCAGTCAGATTGGTAACCATAAGCATGCCGTGTGCAGTTTTCTGGCATCAGGTTGCAGGAATTCTCAGCTTGGATGCTTCAATGACTAAACGGTTAACTTTTACTGGAATTTCAAGCCACAACCGTGAGAAGCAGTCAAATAAAGGTCTAGGAAAAAAAAGGGCATAATTTGATGTGTTCACCAGCAACAACATGAGGTGAGTAGGATGGGTGTTTTGACTAACCGCTAATGATTTTAGTTTAGGAATGGTAGATCCCACGTGAATACTTCTAGTTTCAGTAAATTACGCTGGACTCTGCAGAGAGAATCTTCTGTCACCATGTGTGTGATTGTATAGCTCACTAACGATATATATGATTTGTTTCATGTCATAAAGAAGGTTTTTATGAATTATCCATATTGTAAAGCCTGTTTTGTTTTCTCCTGTGTGAATAAAAACAATTCTAATTGAAGGACTGAGTATTTCTCATTGTATAAAGAACTTAAGTGCAAAAAGAAATACAAATGTCAAGTAAAGATTTAGAGTATCTCCATTTGTAAATTTCCCCTCTGTGGGACGATAAAGGTATTCTGACTCTGATCCTGATTGTGTACATTGTGTAAACACCGCTTAATATCAAATGTAATGCAGAAATTGTGTATTACAATATGTTAATGACGTATTATTTCATCATGATGCTATTCCATCTGAAGTCTATCATAATTCAAATGAAATCAATGCCCATCCCTATTGAGAAGACAAACTGGTATTGTAGTAATTCATAAATTATTTTGGGAGTGTCACTACTATTATGATAAGCAATACACTGTGCACACTGATACAGGCCAATTGCACAACCTTAAATTGTGTTATTTCTTTCCCCCCCTTCCTAGACAGCCTGGGGGGTGTCTGTAAGTCATCCCTGCCTCACCCTGCCCTCAGGGGAATCTAAAGAATTGCAAGCTACCTTAATTGAAATGCCTTTAGTGAGTGGGCCACTGACCTGCACCAAACGGTCCTCCTGCACAAACTGCCTGCTGTGCTTAACTAATTAGAAATACTAAAAAAGCCTCAAAACTGATTAATATTATATTATAATATTTCTCTCTTTAAAAACATCTCTTGGACAGGCCCCCCTTTGGGCAGTCCTGAAATGCTGCTGAGGTATTTCACTCCATGATATACAATCCACAGGGACACAACACTCAATATCAGCCAATCCTCCTCCTTTACTTCCGAACTCATAAAGACAACAAGGCTACAAACAGAGCAGGAGAAAGCCAAGCTATATTTCACACTTTGTTTCCTGCTCAAACATTCCTAACGGAGACACCGGCTTTTACAGCGCGGTAGAACCAAATATAGTCATCAATGAGGTTAACCAAATTAGAAAGACATCCTTTATCCAGTGGTTTCAGGTAAGAGCCCCTCAGTGTCCTCCACAAAACCCATGTTGTTACAATGAACTAGACTAGCATTAGCTACAGGATACTTGCATTGTCTATTGTTATCATTTTATGAATGGATTAATCAACTACCTGCATAATTACAGATGTCTTATTTATACACCTGTCATGATCATATAAAAATAGATTAAAAGGTATTTGCTTCTCACCATTGTTCTTACATAGTGACCTTTAATGAGGTGAATACTGTCTAACAAGTGTGTCAGAAGAGAGCCAGTCAGACCTATGTGTCTGCAACAAGGCAAGATACTGAACCTAAATTAGAAACCAACAAGATAAGCTGCAGGAGAGAGGGAAGCATTGTAGAAAAACAGAAATGCTAAGAAATAGTAACAGGTAGAAGGGTTTTTGGAAGTACTTTTGGAATTATTGGCATCAATGGATAATAGATGGATTCATTGATATGTTCAAAATGACAGAAGGATGTATTGAGTCTTTAGTATACGTTCACAGTCCTTTAGTTACCCTAGAGAGCCTAAAGGTTAACCGAACACCATCTGGAGCTATTACAGTGTTTAAATGAATCTCCAGTCTGCCAAAAAGGCCTCTCCCCTCACACAGTGGTGAAATTAAATACCTCAACATAGTCAGAGTGACTCCATTAAAAACAACCACCAAGTTAAGAGTCTGGATTTTCATCTTGCACAACCTGACTAATACTATAGGGCAGATAAGTAACGCAGATACAACAAAGTACATACATTTTTATAGTCCCAATACCCTTTTTGCTGCTACTCTTAAAGCAATGGTTGTGTACGTATGTGTCTTTATTTGAATTATATTACTAATGAGTGCTTTCTTCTCTATATTTGATAAATTAGCTTATGCTACTCTTTATTATTGATTGTCTTTTTTTTAACCTGTTATGCCACTTTTGCTATAACAATTTACATTTTCCAGGACTAATACAGGAATTCGTATTCTGATTCTTAAGCTTCTCATCTAAGTAATTGTTTTGTATACTCAGTAGTGCACCTTTCATGCACTTAATATACTTGCTCAGCTGTGTATTTTACAGCAATCCTGCAAGATCGCATTTGTTTTTATGTCCGGATGCATTCCTTCACAACTTTATGTGATATCTGCCTTTCATGCACTTCGACGTTGCATTACTCTAAATTACGTTGTAATGCGTATGATGCATTTATTCTATGCAACATATAACACGCATGGTGATAATGTGACTGTGGTGGAGTTCAGGAACTGCCTCCCCTTTTAATGCTGTCTGCTAACAGGGCCTTGGTACACTGTGGGACCAAAGATAAAAGCTAACGCGACATAAACTAGACAGTCTACATAGAAATGAACGTCCAAGTTACTCCAAGCCTTGGAATACTTCTTACTGGTGTCAACACATTTATAATAATCATACAAGGTGTTAAAATAAAGGTTGTTGTTGTTGTTTCAGCCAAACTGGATTTCCAGGCAGGCAGCTGTCAGTCTGTATCGGGGCAAAACGGAGACAGTTTTTTTTACTAATTTTGCCAAAACTATGCCATATTGTGATGAATGATAAAGCTATAAGGTTGTTTCTGCTTCAGTTCATGTTCCCGGATAAGTAACAAATCACCGCTCAGTGTAATTGTGTCACAATGTTCCAAAGAAAGCCTAGTTAGCTTCTTGATGCTATCATGTTAGCTGCGTCCGTTCTCGGACAGCTAGCGGCTAAACGGCTCCGTCCAAAGCATTCGTTGTTTATCACCAACAGTAATATTTAGACCATAACTACAGTTTGAGACGTAAACACTCGTGCATTCGTAGCATGCGTTAATGCTTTGTAACGACCAACACTTGTAGAGTAAAATTACAAGTACATATTATTTCTGCTCGACAAAACAGATGTAGCTTTAACGTCTGCGCCCGACAACAGGCTTGAGGTTTATAGTCAATGTTAACGACGGCTTTGGTTATTTATAAATTATCTGCCATCGAGTATTGTAGGTAATAATTTGAAATCCTTTCAAATTAACCCGGAGGTCCACAGTAGTCGGTTAAAAAGGCCAAAACAATAACAGTCATAAAACATCATCTTGGCTACGCGTCCGACAATGGAATTACATTGCATGAGTAGCAGATTAAATACTGCATCAGTAAACATCAAAACGTTAACAATCTTGTATATTATAAACGTGCTAATCGTGGCTGTATTATTTTTGTTTTCTGCTGTTATGACAACACTGACGAGATACAAAAGAGAGCTATGCATGTCTAACCCACTGCTTGTCCGATAATGGATCTCTGTGGCTGCTGCTCTCACTGCAGTTTTACCTTGTACACATCTCCGTATGTGCCGCTTCCTATCCGCTGGATCAGCTCGAAATCCTCCTGCGGATTCCTCCGGGACAGGTCGACACTGGAGTCCATCATGTCCACTGCCGATTACGGCGCCGATCGCGTACGGTTAACGAGCCCCAACAATGTATGAAAACAGTAATTTTAAGAAAAACATACGGCGTCAGAAAATCCCAGCCTGATTCCACTGTAGCTCCAACATGGCTTCCACTGCGCAATGAGCATGCGCAATGCACATCATGGCGTACACAGCATGAGTCTGCCCCGTCTGCCCAGGGGAGTGAAGTTGCTGGATTTAATATTGATTTTAAAAGATAAGTGTGGTGATTAAACATTAGTAAGCTGCAAAAAACATACACAAACAGTCACTTGTTTATTTATATATCCAATTTTATTTAGAAAAAGGTCATTAAAAAAACACCTAACATCTGGTTTTAAATTGATTGTACTATTTCAATTCTAGTACTGGTAGATCCACACAATGAAGATGAAGTCAGATTTTCTAATCAACACAGGCAGAGAAAATACAGTAAGTTGACATCTGAAAGGGAAATGAATGCAAACACTAAGCCCTGTGTGGCCTTGTCTCGCCCCTCTGTATGAAACTGGGCTAAGCAGGGCTAAACGGCAGATGGCAACATTGTGATTCAGCTGATGGGGTTTGTGTTACAGGCAGAACAAAGACTTATTACAGAAACATATAAGGGATAAGGCTTGTGGTATTCCATATTTTTGGTCAACATATGACCAAAAATACCAAAAACAATGAATGGTTTTTGCTAACAAGTGTATTTGGTGAGGCAGAAGCTTGAAATAAATGTTGAATTATGTGTGATAGGTGTGCTAAATCTATTGAAAACCCATTGTGATCTTCTTTGGAATGGTAATGGGCATACACTGTCTTGGTGTCATTAATATCTTCAAGAGCACCAACGGGTATTAATTAAAAGACACACTTTTGACTCTGAACTAACATTTCCTACAAATATATATTTCTTCATATTATTTGCAATTGAAAAAACCTTAGAGACAAACCACATTAGTTTTACTAATATGTGGCAAAACCTACTGATTCTTCACGAAAAAAGTAAAAAAGATAACTAAATACGTTTGAATGTAACTTTCACAAACACAGATCAAGTGTCCATCTTGACATATTTATGAAGAAGTCCATCTATGGCTCCTAAGCTGAGTCGAAGCGTTGTCTGGTGCTTCAGGGAGGAGAGAGGGGGAGGCGGACTGTGCTGTAGCCCAGACGGAGGCTCAGTTTCCTGGGTAGGTGGGGATGTGACCCCCTGTTGGATTTGGGATGTCTGCTGCTTTGTGGAGGACAGAGAAGGAGATGGACAGTCTTGTTTCCCAGGCTTTGCTTCTTGGTTAGATGTTGGTCCGGTGTCTTTCTGTGCCAGGAGTTTTTTCAGGACACAGGATAACTGAGGACTCAGAAGGAGAACCAGGGTACCACCGATACAGAGGACTCTGAAACACACACATATCAAGTCAATTACTTAATGTAATAACTCTTTACAGACAGGCAATCTTTTGTCATTGCTATGAGATCAATTAAAAAAAGTGATAGCTAAAAGATAGCTAGTTTGAAGTTACAGCACAAAATCTAACATGATTTAGACTTTATACAGTTTAAGATCTACTTGGATGTGGAACTTGACCTTACAAGCAAATAGTTCTGCGCAATAGTTCACACACACACACACACACACACACACANGTTAACTTACGTACGTACTACACTATACTAAGTACGTACTAGTACACACACACACACACACACACACACACACACACACACACACACACACACACACACACACACACACACACACACACACACACACACACACACACACACACACACACACACGAGAATGAGAACAACTACAAACATTTTCTGATTCACTGAACAATTCGGCAAGAAACAAACAATGGAAACAGACACAGAGAAACACAAACCTCTCCATCTCTGTGAGGATGAGAGGCAGGTTGGCAGCCATGTCTGTTTTGGTGCCAAACTTCCTTCCAAAGGGCAGGTCACACACTACAGCATCCACAGTGGAGCTGGGCAGAGGCAGCGCTGCACACACAGAGGAGGCCAAGAGGTAATTTAAAACATGACAGAAGGGTTCACTCTCACCTCCCACTCGCTGACTCCAATCCAAAACTCGCTGCTTTGGATCCTCAGAACTAAATAAAAGCAATTTATAAAAGCTGGATACGGAATTAGTGAATTGCATCATCCCTTGAGATTCATAATTGAATTAATCCAAGAGAAAAATGGCAACGTGTTCAACAGAGTGACACATTTCATTTGCTGGCAATGTTTAAAGAGCGTTTACAATGTATTTCAATTTGAGCTTTATTTATGGTTCTGACAGTTTTCCAGAAGGCAGATATTTATTATTGTACAAAAAGGCAATGTAAATGTCACTATTTAGGGGCAAAGGGTTCATTTCTATTGTCAAAATACATTAGTTGTGGCTTTTCATTTGATGACAATTTACTAAGTATGCACAGCTTTACCATACATCTCATACACAGACTAACTTAAGAGCTCTCTTGATATGAACACAAGCTTAATGACAAACATTTAGGATTATTGTAGCGATCATTTTGTGCAGGTTTCTTACTCATAGATGAAGCTTTCAGCAGGTGCATCCTGTTTCCCAGCTCTGCAAACTCTACGTTCTCATTGGCCTTCTTCAGCTGTCCATCATCAATGTCCATACCCAGGAAACAGACATCCTGAAGAATGAGGGGTCAGATTATTATGAGAGTGTTCAAATAGCCCACTACAGTAGGCTATACATAATAACTTCAATATTTATTAATATTTACATTAAAAAAACAAGCTATATTTCCATTGAGACCAAATGTGTATCACAACAGTTTTCATACATTTAGTCCAATTCCAATCTTTTGTCATTTTTTTGACATTTCTACACTTAATGGAACTCTGTGTAGATTCCTGTCCTTACCTGATGTTCCTGTGCTGCTTCTATTAGGATGGTACCGACTCCACACATTGGGTCCACCACACAGAAGCCTGGCTGGGAAACAGGAGGTAACATACAGTTTGTCAAACTCATACTGTGACTGAAAGACATTACTGAATCACAATCCAATGAGTGTGCAGCACAGACAACAAACATTAAAGGTGGGGTAGGTAAGTTTCAGAAACCGCCTCGAGATACACTTTTTGTTATATTCCATGGAATGCTCTTGACAAAAAATCCATAAAAAAATTTCATTTGTGGAACCCGTAATACTGTAAAAACTATAACGTAAAAAATGTAACGGAGCAAATTAAGAACAAAAAGAAAGTGGAAACTAGGAGAAGTCAAACCAGAGTCAATATCGGAGTTGCTTTGGCTGTGTAGTATTGCTAACCTAGATGTGTTTAGCTTTGCCTGATATGTAACGTTACTGCAGCCTGCTCTCGCGGAGGAGGTGCTCTGTAAGGAAGTCTGAAGGAAGGGGCGGATTCTTTTTGGCTGTGTACTTTCAAATTTTAGTGCACTCGANATCCGCCCCTTCCTTCAGACTTCCTTACAGAGCACCTCCTCCGCGAGAGCAGGCTGCAGTAACGTTACATATCAGGCAAAGCTAAACACATCTATAGGTTAGCAAACAGCCAAAGCAACTCCGATATTGACTCTGGTTTGACTTCTCCTAGTTTCCACTTTCCTTTTGTTCTTAATTTGCTCCGTTACATTTTTTACGTTATAGTTTTTACAGTATTATGGGTTCCACAGATGACATTTTTTTATGGATTTTTTGTCAAAGCACTTCAGATATTCATTGCTATCGGGATGTTAAGAGCATTCCATGGAATATAACAAAAAGTGTATCTCGAGCCGGTTTCTGAAACTTACCTACCCCACCTTTAATGTTTGTTGTCTGTGCTGCACACTCATTGGATTGTGATTCAGTAATGTCTNGACCAGTAGACGATGTTGAACCTAACTCTGCCATGGTGAAAGTGGCCGCCTGTTGCTGGCAGCAATGCACGCCCAATGACGGCACGCCCAATGAGGGCAGTGCCCTCATTGGGCGTGCCGTCATTGGGCGTGCATTGCTGCCAGCAACAGGCGGCCACTTTCACCATGGCAGAGTTAGGTTCAACATCGTCTACTGGTCGCCAAAGAACATTTTTAAGGGAGGCTGTGGCTCAGTGGATAGTGTGCTGCACTTTGAACCAGGGGATTGCAGGTTCAAGCCCCACTGCAGTCAGCATGTTGTTGTGTCCCTGGGCAAGACACTTCACCCCAAATTGCTCCTGTGGGGATTGTCCACAGTACTGAATGTATGTAAGTCGCTTTGGATAAAAGCGTCTAACAATTGACATGTAATTTAATGGAGCAAATTAAGAACAAAAAGAAAGTGGAAACTAGGAGAAGTCAAACCAGAGTCAATATCGGAGTTGCTTTGGCTGTGTAGTATTGCTAACCTAGATGTGTTTAGCTTTGCCTGATATGTAACGTTACTGCAGCCTGCTCTCGCGGAGGAGGTGCTCTGTAAGGAAGCCTGAAGGAAGGGGCGGATTCTTTTTGGCTGTGTACTTTCAAATTTTAGTGCACTCGAGCCGGTTTCTGAAACTTACCTACCCCACCTTTAAGCTAACCGTTTTAAAATGAGGACATGTAAGGCTCAATTGTCACATTATATGAGTCCAAACCTAATTTGCCTTTTAAGGTGATTAGTAAAAGATCAAATACCTTCTGGTTTGCATACAGTAAATATAACAAAGTAGTTCCTTCATAGTTTTCAGAAGTCATAAATGTACAAACCAATAACAAAAGAATACAGCAGCAGTCATTCAGGGTGCTATTACCTGTATCTGAGCCAATGAGGCCATAGCCCAGGCTACAGTGGACCGCAGTCCTGTGGTTTTAATGTAGCTCCGGTTAGCCAAAGGTAACCTGAGAGAAAGAGACAGAGAGGTATTACTTATCACTGCTTAGCCAATTTAAATAAAGCTGCAATATGTTACATCTATGATGTTTCTGAGGTTTCAAGGTAGTTTGGGATTATACCTCAAGGTCTTCTTATTAGAGGGGATTTCATGGAAACAGCATATAGTCATTAGTTAAATGTAGAGAAAGTGTTTCTGTCAATCACCTGGTTAGTGGAAACCCGACCAGGCAGTTGTCATCACTCAAATAAACATGAACCTGCAGAAAAAAGCAGACAATTGATGATGG